AAGCGGGCGAGGCCGGAGGGACGCGGGGCCGGGCTCTCGGTACGGCTCCTGAGTTAGCAGCAGCAGCGGTAGTAACAACGACCAGGAGAGCCAATGCCTCGGACCTGGCGCGAGCTGCCATGTGAGTGAGTAGCACTGGCGTAACGAACGGGGACATGATCGAAGGGGACTTCGGGGGTACGGCCGGGGAGGGGGGGCTGGCCCAGGCTGCTCCCTGGTGAGTTTCCCAGGATATATGAGCTCTCCCGCGTTGGCGAGCTTGCTAAGGAAGGTCGGGTTTGAGCTGCGCGAATTATCAACTTCCTGTCCTGGGGCGAGGAAGAATTAGCCGGGCAAGCAGCAGGAGAGGCTGGTTCCAGGTTTCTGGTGCTGGGGTAGGTGCGCGTCCGCCAGAGAGAGCTGAAGAGACCTCCTTGAGGCTGAGCCCCTGGACTAGTGTCGCTGAATTGCTGGAGAGGTGTATAAACGCTCCCAACGTAGGAGTCGTGTTCCTAAAGAGCTGGGTGGCCAGCAGCTTCTACGGCTCCAGGAACTGAGCCTTCCCCACCTCTTCTAAGTGGCAGGTTTGAGGGTGGGAAGAGGAGGCTGGGAATATTCGGGGGCACAGATTTTGCCCTGGAATTTCGTCGAGGGCAAGCTATGTGTTGGATGGGTGTACACAGAAGCACAAATGTGTGTATTTTTTAAAAATATTAAGGCCAGCCTTGTGGAATGGTCTTCAGTGGAGGTATGACTTTCAGGAATGTCTTCCTCCCCCACCCAAAATTGTTGACTTCCATAGCCGTTTGTTCTGTTTAACAAAACAGACCTGTCTCTCACTCCAGGGATTTTGTGTACAAATATATGAATACCCTTTAACAGCACCTATAATTAGTAAAACATATCAACTGTATTTGCATGGTTTATTAAACCAGGAAATGAGTGCACATTTGCCTGAATATTAAATAATTTGTCCTTTGTGACAACTAATTTTGTCCCTTACTTTCAGCCTCCTTCCAGTTATAAAATAGTCCTGCAGGATTCTATTTTCTCATTTTAAATTTAAGATAATATTTGAAGTTTTTGTGCATTATATCATACATCTGCTCTTTGGAAATGTTAGTATGAAGCTCAGGGAAAATACTCTTAGTTAATGGGAAAATGAAGAATGTCTGGGACTGTATCCCTAGCATCAGGTTAAGCTATGTGTTGGATGGGTGTATACAGAAGCACAAATGTGTGTATTTTTTAAAAATATTAAGGCCAGCCTTGTGGAATGGTCTTCAGTGGAGGTATGACTTTCAGGAACATTGAGGAATGTCTTCCTCCCCCACCCAAAATTGTTGACTTCCATAGCTGTTTTTTTATTTTAATGGTTCTTGGGCAGATAGTATGTTCAAACATCTCTTCAGGCCCACAAGAGATTAGCTGGAGGCTGAATCCAAATTTGAAGATGAAGCATTAGAGAGAGGCTGTTACACTGAGTAGTTAACGCTGGGCTAAATGAACCTTCACAGGCTTGATGTAGGACACTTCTTTCACAATGGTCACATCAATTATTTATCTGTAGTTAATTGAACCTTGGTTTAGTCAGTCAACCCAGCTGGGTGTGCACAGTACTCTGAACCATAAACTAAGCACATAGGCTGTGCTCACACACTAGGCTAAAATGTGGTTCCCTAGTAAGTGATTCAGGTCATCAAATAAATCCATATAAAACTGCTTGGTCAATGACTGGAGATAATTTTATAATTGCAGTTACTTGTAAATAACACGTATTCAGGTCTTAGGTGTATAAAGTCAAGTTGTGCTTGTGCCTTTTCTGTTGCTGCCCTTGTTCTATGGAACAATCCCCATCCCACCCGGAAATATACAACAGGCCCCAACTCTGCTCACCTAGTCCCCTTTTAATTGGTTGTTTCGGTGCTTGGTCACCATTTTGTATTTTATATTTATATATTGTATATATTTAATATTATATGGTTTGGGGGGGAAGTTTTGGTTTATTGTTTATTTTTTGTTGTATACTGCCCTGAGTCACATTGTTTGACGTGGGCAGCTTTGTAAATCTAGTTAATACATATACACACTTCTGGCAATGTTTTGAAGGAGGTATACTCTTGTTTTTCTTTTTAACCAGGTATTTGTATTCTGTAATGTTTAGGAAATTGTTTAGTAGTTCTAATTAAAAGAAGTGGGTATGCAGCACTCTGGGCAAGGTTGTGAATTAATTAAGAATGTTTAATCATATAATGAAATCCAAAGGCTTATTTCCTCAATTGCTTGGAGTATTGTATTTATTCATGTCTTTTTTCAAGGTTCTCATGTCCGAATTGTAATAACTGAGTTTGCATTGTTATAGAAGAGGAAGAATGTGGGGGCTGAGATACTTAGTTTGAAGGCAAGTTTTTATTTGAGTAAATGGTGAAAGCCAGGGTAGGGGAAAAATGCTCTGAAAGGCATGATGTGCTACTACTGGTCAATGCAGATCAGGTTCTTTAATCTTGTGCTTTTAGAGGTCCTGCCTATAATTATTCTTCTCCCAGGCAGCAGAACCTAACCCTCTGAAGCATATTTTGAAGATAGAGAAGGGGAATTGTTCCATTTCTGTTCAGCTGAGAGAATCTGTCCAAGCTAATTGATGATCAGCATGTCGGTTTATGTAGTAGTTAACATAAGGGATATAGTTAAAAGCATAGGGATCTGATCAGTAAATAATGTTTGGCTTTCTTAACTATAATAAATTAGTCACCTTGAAATTTAGAACAATGATGGTAGTGAGTGAAGAATACCAAAGTTCAAAATGACTAATGAGTCATTACTAACATATCCAAACAAAGCTGGTTTGGATTCAAATGTTCTGGCCTGCTTGTCTGGTGAATTAATAGGTGGACAGTATTTACAGTCTGTTTGATCTACTTGGAAGCAAATTTTGTTGAAATAAAATTAGCATTGGGGTCAATTTGTACATGATTACTTCTGTGTGACAGCCACAACATAATGTACAGAGCCAACAAACAAATATTTCATGTTAATGGATTACAGGACCAGCATAGTAGATTATATCCATAACCTTCAAAGAAGAGGCCTTCATTCTGCAATGTATTGTTCAGGCTGATAATAACATTTATTGAAAAACTGATACCAAGTAACCATTTGTTGTCCACAATGTGGTCTTTAGTGTCCAGTGGCAAAGTCAGGAGTATTATTGCGAAATGTCATGCGTGTCCTATATTGTACCTTGTTTTGAAACAGCCTGTTCCATGTGAGAACAAATTGCAGGAGATGTTTAAGTTGGTGGTTTAAAAGCATGTTTGCCTAAGATATAATTTCCACTGCTCATTATGTCTTCTTGAAGTACATAAGTCCTTTGGGCAATATGTTCTATAACATGTTCTAATAAATATCACTTTATGAAACTGGTGAGATACAAATCAAGATTGCAGAAAACAGATTCTTGTTCTGGTGCTGCTGAAATCTAATTAGAGTTTTAAAGCGTTCTTGGAAATTAGCTGAAGTGGTGATGGTTGTAAAGAAGATGGAGCGTTTATAGACTAGAACCGCACAAATGCTGAATTTTCAGTATAACGCAAGGCCGAAATTAAACACTTGACCCTGAATGTCTTAAGTACCAGATCCCCAGGATAGGACTGCATCCTTAAAGTTGCTGCTTGTGCGGGCTTATTTACATATTCCCAGTAAATTGTCTGTAGGTTGCATCTTGATTTAACTCACCAGTCACCATTGAAATACCTGTAAACACTCTTTTGGCTCACATCATAATCATATCATACTCTAGGAACCTACCTCTATTTAGTTTTCCAAGCCCAATCATCTGCTGAGATTACTTTTAATTTAAGAGAGGTAATGTTTTGAAGGAGGTATACTCTTGTTTTTCTTTTTAACAAGGTATTTATTTGTATTCTGTAACGTTTAGGAAATTGTTTAGTACTAATTAAAAGAATTGTGTATGCAGCACTCTGGGCAAGTTTGTGAATTAAGAATTTTAAACCATACAATGAAATTATTTCCTCAATTGCTTGGAGTGTTATATTTATTCATGTCTTTTTTTCAGGATTCTTGTGTCCGAATTGTAATAACTGAGTTTGGATTGTTGTAGAAGAGGAAAAACATGGGGGCTGAGAGAGAGATTAGATTTTCTCCATTACTTCCCCTGATGAATCTCCCATCAAAAAAAAGTTTAGGTATCATGATTATACATATTGAAATGAAAGGGAAATGGAAACTTAAATAGCATAGCAGTCATAAGATATGAACAATAGTGTTTTGCCCTTCTGATGGAGGTAGTTACACCTCTGCAAGAAAAAAAAGTTGACTTTTCATTCTTGTAATTTGTTTTCAGTATATCCCTATCTACCCCTATGTCTCAATCAACCATGACAAGTGACTGTGGGCGTATGATGAACCCCAGCAGTAAACCTAATCTTACAACACTAATTACACTCTAAATTGACTTCTTATATTGGCACAGGTGTTAAGATTCTCATAGTACACATTATTTTTTATCCTCTTGAAAGTTAAGCCATTAGGGTCTTGGGATGGTTGGTTCCCTTTCTTTATTATATCAAGCATTTAACCTATGCATTTTTGTTTGTTTTCTTACCAGGGTTTCTTTTCTATCATCCGATATAATTCAATAGTTCTTGTGTTAAGATTCTTTTTTTAAAAAAATGTTCATTTTGAGATCATTTGATTTTCAGCTAGGAAGTTTGAAAGATCCAGCGATAGTTTGCTTTTCTTTAACAGCTCCAATATATGTACAGGAATAAAAAATACATTCTTATTGAGCAGTAGAGACTCTAATTTTTCAGCATGCTTAAGATGCTCTTTATAATTTCATTCTAAATGTGTCTCTTGTCGGGAGGCTTTTTGAAACCTTAGTGTTCCAATTAACCTTGTTACGCTGCAAAAACCTTGCTACATCATAGAAAACTTAGGTTTTCTATGCAGATAAAGTGTTTACTGAGAGCGAGCTTTGGTGTAGTGGTTTCTTAGGCTAGAACCCGGGAGACCATTAGTTCTAGTCCCACCTTAAGCACAAAGCCAACTGGTGACCTTGGGCCAGTCATACACATTCAACCTTGGTGAGAAGAAGGCCATGGCAAACCACTTCTGAAAATCTTGCCAAGAAAACTGCAGGGACTTGTCCAGGCAGTTGCCCGGAGTCAAAAACTGACTCAAAGGCAGTCAATCAAAAGTGATTAGTACATGGTACAGGTGCACATGTGTTTCTGAAATGGCCTGTCGCAAAATTCTCATATCTTGTTTGAAGTACATCAGTTTGGATTAAGCTGAAGAAAAATTAGGCACTGGGCATCCTGTGCAATCTTGCTTTATATGCCATTTGCTGACACCTCAACTTATCAAGCATGTTATTCAGGCAATACTGAATAAGTAGCAGAAACAGTTTTCCTAACAGAGCCATTAAACAGTAATTTAGAAATCCTGCCAAATAAGCTTGTTATCAGAGGATGCCTTGGAATATTGCTTCCCCCCCCCTTATTTTATCTAAATGTATCTGTTTTGTTTGATTTCTTGTTCATCAAATATTTTGGGCTCTGCCTCCCCAAAATCTGTAATATTTTCTAAACCAAATTTCCAGGATATTGTCATCAGCACTTCATCTGTTTCAAAAACACTGAAGTATTTTGAAAAAAATATCCTTTTTCTGATGCCCTAAACTGAGGGAGGTCTTATGTAGTCCATTTATTTGACTTTTCATAAACAAAACTTTTAAAGCTCAGTGTCAATTGTATGTCCTGCATACTTGTCTGAAAATGTTTTCCAACAGTCAAAAGTAGTTGAACAGATTGAAAGTCAGTAAAATAGTATGGTTTAAATGACATACAGTATTCAAATAAATTCACATTTTGAGTTGAAAATTGTACATAGAACCTTTTAATAAAACAGGAATGAATATGTATATGTATATATGTGTATGTACACATACATACATACACACACAGCTGAGAAAAACAGTGGAGGTGTTGATGTTTAATGTAGTGTTTGGTAAACATGGTAAAAAGCTAATCTTAGCATGTATAAGGGGGAAGTTTCTTTTTATATTTTATTCTATTAGCATTATATCTGTTCAAGATGATCAGCGTAATGTGTATAGTTTGTTCATTGTGTTCATGTTGTAAAATGAACTTTTTTCCCAGAAAATGTGGCACTTCTCAACTTTGCTCAAAAACATTCACAGCCTGCCACATATTAAGGCAGAATCTTACGCAAGATGGTGAAGCTGCCTGTGCTAACTTCTAATTAGCCTGCATATTTGCCATATCTTAATATTATATTGCTTAGAGTTTGCTAACTATAGCCACAGCTGTTTTTGTGTTTTCAAAGCTACTCTGAAAATAACCAAAGTGTGACGTCTTGTGAAGCTGTTGGTAGAAGGCTCCCAGTTTAAAAACTGGCAGATATTTTACAAATCCTTGCGAGATAAAAAGTCTCACAGAGCCTTCCCTTTCCAGTCAGTGGCCAGGGTAACTGCAGCTTCATTTGCTGTTCAAAACATAACTTGTATGTATCTGCCTTATGTTTTTAACACTGGGCCCCTTCAGCTAGTGCTGCGCTGGCTGAGGCATGGCATGGCTTCTGTTTTATTGGGTGAGAATAAATGTCCATTACTCATTTTTTGTACTTTGTAGTGTACTAACTTTACCAGTCTGTTCCTGCTAGTGTCATCTTCTGTCTCTGCAGCTGTTAAAGAGTACAGTGGCTTTTACATAGAAAACAAAGACGCCTTTATGCACAATGTGTTGGAAAATTGGGCAGAGTACAGCAGATATAAAGAGTTTTACACTTATTGAATTAAAATGAAGGCCACGTAAGTCTTGAAACCCTGTGATTTGAAAGGAAATATTCTGCACAAACAATAGAGTAGATATATATTATTTCCTTTAATTTAATGTAGCCCAGCAGTATATATTGCATTTACAGGAACATCTCTCTCTGAAGAAACATCAGAGGCAGAGAAATTACTATTGCATTATAAGCTGCTTAGTACACAGATGTTGAAATAAAAGAAAAGGTAACTTAACCCAAATAAAAACATTTCAGGCTTGTAGTCACATGTTAGGATAAACTCTTTTTATGGGTGTTATTTCAATCCTCCTCTTTTATCTGATTGTTTTCAGTTCAGTTTTAGATTAACCACGGTTTACGACGACACTGTATATTATATTTGGTAACATGTCCTTAATGGTTTTAATCTTGGCTACAGTGTTACAATTCCTTCTTTTGGTTTCCTAATTCCAAAATTATGGTTATATCTTCTAGAAGTAATAAAGGTTAACAGTTGTTGCAGTTCTAATTTTTAATTCAAGCCCTTATTTAATTTGAATTGACAATTAAATTATGAAACATTAGTCCTCAAGTTATGACCATTTGTTTGGCCACTGTTCAAAGTTACAACAGTGCTGAACAAAGGGACTTAGACTGATCCTCGAAGTTCTGGCTGTTGCACCCCCACAGTCACATGAACAAAATTTGAGTGCGTGGCAACCAGCTTACACTTACGACCATTTGCAGTGTTCCGTGGTCATGTGATCACCATTTGCAACCTTCCCTGCCAGCTTCCCCCAAGTAAAGTCAATGGGAAGCTGGCAAGGAAGGTCACAAGTCACTGGGGTAAGTCTCCCCACCAGCCTTTCTTTGCTCACACGCACTGTGTACTTCTTCCCCCCTTCACATGCACACACCCCATGTCCTCTTTCCATGACCTCCCTGCGATTGCATGCACCCTGTGCCCTCTTTCCCTGGCCTCCCTGAAATTGCACACATGCACATATCCTACGCCCTCTTCCCCATCCTCCCTGCAATTGCATGCACCCCACACCCTCATTCCCCAACCTTTCTGAGCTCATGCTGCACCAAGCACCCCCTCCACTGATTCAGGCATGGCCTGCGTCAGGCCTCCCTCACATCCCCCCACTTTACCTGTGACTCCCTCCACTTCCCGCTTAATGACCTGTGCGTCTTGGGTTACGACAACTACCATGACTGCCTGGATTGCCATTCCTAAGTGATGCTGTCACATGACGTCACGCTTTACAGCTGCATAGTTTAGCAACGGCAATCCCAGTCCCAAGGGCAGTCGTAACTCAAGGACTACCTGTACTTTATCTTCCACTGCCTTAAATGACTTTTAAAACCTCAGTAGCAAAACTCAATCCATTATTTTTGTATTTCCATAGATGTATTTCCATAGATTTAATATATTTCTGCAGCAATGCTTTTATGTATTTTACAAATAAGACGATTAAAGGAATCAGCTAGAATGTATGTTTTACCCAGGAAATGGTTTTCCATTCTGAATTTAATTGGGTTCATCTTGTCTTTTATTCTGTGTAAATAAATGTTTAAATTTTGTCATAGTATTTCTATACTTTCGATAAGACTGAATTTAGGTGTGCTGAGCATGTTATCCTTAGCGGCATGGCTGCCACCTTCTTTCTGGTTACTGTCTCAGTACTTTAAAATGTGGATGTTTTCTGCTGGAGTGGATTCTGTAATTATAGATCAGGTTGACAGTCCAGTTACAGTGTTTCTTAGCATTAGACATGTCCTGGAATGAAGTGCTCACCAAATGGGACAGAGATTTATGTTATCCAGATTTGGTTTGGGAACAACCATTGTTGGAGGCAGCAACTGGGAAACTATGTATACGCTCTTCACAAATGATGTGGCGTTATTTCTGATACAAGGCTAGATGGGAAGAAAAGCCAGTATTTTTACATTAACAATTACTATTACTGTAAGGTAGTTTGTAATACTAGCTTTAACAAAATTATCCTTCTATAGAGGATACTGTATTTTTAATTAGTTATAAATGATTTTAGTTAATAATGAAAATCTTCAGCTTCAGTTGTTATTTTCTTCTGCAATAGAGAATGAAAGAATTGTCACTGGTTGGCTTAATGAACATAATGGTTAGGTTTGCAGAATACCCTGGAATGCAGAATAGCTAACCAGATGTTAATCTTAAGAGTGCTGTGTGAACTCATTCCATATGGTTAGTTGGTGATGCAATATGTTAACCATATGTAAACGTACAAATGAATAGAAGAAATGTAGTTTGAATGGTTTTCTAGCTAAAATCTTTGGTCTTAAACTGGCGGAGGCTGCTAGCATGTAACTTGCCATTCTTTTGAAGAGAAAGGAACAGGTCTGCTAGGCAATCTAATTTGTTGAGTGTGTCAGTAATCCAAGCTGTATTTACAGTGTACAAAATTCACTTCTGACAAATTATATCACTGGAAACTTACCTGTGTATTTAAAACGTATTTGAAGTGTTTGCTGTGTTAGCCAAGAATGCTAATTTTCTGGCATAGTAAAAACTAATCTTACAATTGGATGGCACATAAATGCTGTAAAAATACATGAATAAATATTAATAATGAAGAATAAATGCACTGTCGGTACCAAAGCCAGCTTTAGGTAGTGCCTGTTGCTAAAAATCAGTGTTCTGTGATGATAGAGATCTCAAGCGTATTCTGTTGATAATGATTCATATCGCTTAAATAATTTGCTTACCTTTAACATACAACAGATTTAAAGAAAAACTTCAGATACAGTTGAACCATTAAGACACATTTAAGTATGAAGAATCCTTTCCATGTTGTTTTTCCCTTTAAGAATGTGAAATTGTCTGCTGAAGTAGAACCGTTCATTCCTCAGAAGAAGGGCCCCGATTCACTGGTGATGCCTATGGCGCTGCCTAATGATAATGGAAATATCAGTGGTGTGGAGGCAACTCCTATTCCCAGCTACCTGATTACATGCTACCCATTTGTTCAAGAAAACCAATCCAACAGGTAATTAAATCTGTATGTTCGAAACACCAGTATGAGTTGATTTTTTTTTTTTTTTTGACTCTGCTGCTTTAGAGGATGTCTCTGTTTGAACCAGGATAATCTAATTTGCTTTGCTTTCTGAAATATTGGGAAAATCTAAAAATGAAAGATGCATTTCTCTTTATGTTTGGAAATTAAGTGCACTAAACTCATTATGGCTTTCTTCTGCATTAACCTGCAGAGGATCAAGTTGTATAATTGTTAAACAATATGGTTATGGGACAAGTTATTTAGTTTGAGAAAGTCTTAAAACCTCTTTGTTTTGATTATCAATAGTATAAAAGGGGGTAAACTCTACCCGGTAGAGGGAAAGTCTAGGAGGCTTTCAAGATTCCATTGTTATACTCTGTAACAATAAAGTTCTAGTAGTCTTTGCAGTATCTGTTTTCTTTTTTTTTCTTTTTACTTTTTTATTAGAATTTTTCAGCACAATAAAAGTATACAAAATTAAAAGATTAAGAAAAAATATAGAGAAAATAAGAAAGAAATGAACTGAAAAAAGAAAACCAAATTATGACTTCTGCCCTTCTTTCTATCGAGTAATTGCCATCTTATTCTTTCCCCTTCCTCTTTGACCCTTTTTAATCCCCAAATTCATAAATCATCAATTCAGTCTTTTCTTCTCTCAGTGAAAAGGCCATATAAGGCTTCCAGCCTTTTAAAAAAGTCTTTATCATTTTTTTCCCTGACCCCAGTATCTGTTTCTGATCTGGCCTACCTACAAGGGCTGACACTTATGAATATAGGGAAATCTCAAAGGATGAACAGCATTTGCAAAATCTTTAAACTGATTTTATAGGAAACATCTGCAGACCTAACTGGATCTTTTTTTTTTTTATTTCAGACAACTTCCACTGTATAATAATGACATCAGGTGGCAACAGCCCAACCCAAATCCTGCTGGGCCATATCTTGCTTATCCCATTATATCTACTCAGCCACCAGTTTCCACTGAGTATACCTATTACCAACTGATGCCAGCACCATGTACTCAAGTCATGGGATTCTATCATCCATTCCCAGCACCTTACTCTGCACCCTTTCAGTCTGCAAGTGCCATCAATACAGTTACAGCACAATGCACAGATCGTCCAGCCCAGCCAAGCCAGGCCTTTCCATTATGTAGCCCAAGGAGCAGAAGTGCCAGCAGAGGGTCAGTGGTGCAAAAAGTAAGCTCGTTTGCATTTCAGAAACAGTAACGACCCACCCGTGAGAAATAGCGAGGCAGACGCAAATGTACTGCTGGGTACATTACCCTTTCATTTTGTACCTTGTTAGGGTGGCAATGAAAAATAGATGTAAAAAGCAAGAGGTTTTTCACATCAAAAGTTTAAAAAAAAAAAAAAGTTCCTACAGCCCTACGCCGGACAATATGTTTTGGAAGTGCCCAACTGTTTGTTGTGCTTATATTATTGGCAATGGATAGTTTTTCCTAATATCTTGTACACAGCTTTTGCCAGGAGCTGTGATCACATCATTCCATTTGGTGTGACACTGCCAATGTACACTACATATACTGTAACATTCTGTTATTACCTGCCAGAGCAATAGAAGATGGTACAGTTTAAACTATTTCTTGCCCCTTCATTTGTTTTGCCATCAGATTACTGTGGTGTTAGAGTTTTTAAAACTAGCCTTCCAAAGAGGCTCTGGAATAATATCAGAATGTTAGTACGTCTCCAAAATTTTTCTGAAATTAAGTCACGAAAAGCTTTTTAGAAAGCTGGTACAAATCTGCTTATTAAATTTGGAGGCTGCCTGGCTGCAGAATATAAAACAGAAAACAAAGAATGTAAAGCATCTGGACAGCCGTGTCTGGACAACACTGACAGGGCTCCATAACTACCCTACCCAAAGGCCTGAAAGAACAGCCATGTTTTAAAGATCTCCGGAACATCATTAGGGAGGGAGCCACATGGATTTCTGGGGGGATATCGTTCCAGAGGGGAGGCGCCATAGCAGAGAAGGTAATATTCTCCCTAAGTATTTTGAGCAGATTGACTTTTTCTCAAAATGATAGAACTGTCATCCAGTCTGAACTTTCTCTTTGGTAATTTTTGTTAACCAAAATAGAAATTCAAGTAGCTTTGTGTCTAAAAACACAAATTCTCTTGACCTCTGTATTTCATATGCACAGCTGGAGACAGGATTGTAGATCTAGGATTTCTATACATCTGTTGCCTAAAATCACATAGCATACACAGATGTACAAAAAAGTATCATTGTCCTAATTTCAGATGCATCTTTGATGCATTTTTTAAAAATTGACTTCTATGGTAACATTAATATTTCTGTCCCAAATACTCCTAAATAAGACATTCTCATCATTCTATCTAAAACAAATCATAGAATGAGGTTAGACATACAGCGATACACTTTTTCAGTCACAGAATTTGCATGTTTATTCCAGAAGGCCATGAATGCAGCTTACAATGGCCATTAGCTCTCAGTGCTACCTAACATATGCTCAGAATGTATTAAAATCAGTTTAAGTATTTGTGCGGCCCTCATTATCCTTCTCAGCCATCCCAGATTGTTTTCCACTTGTTAATTTTCATCTCTTGGGCAGAGATCACAAGAGATTAATGTGATTTACAGGTCACTTAGCAATGCCTTGACACTAGGTGTCAGGGCAGTTCACTTGCTAAACAATCTGTCCTTGAATTTCAGCTGTGAGCTCATGTGCTATAGTGGCTGAACAAAGGAAGCGCAATTGTGTCATTATGCAGAAATCAGTTATATTTTAGGTTATAAATAGTCATGGGAGTCTAAAACTTAAAAGTGGCATATACTAACATACCATAAACTGGTTGCAGAAGTAACAAGCTCATGTCTACAGATCTTTGATTGTTGCTCTTCACATATTTTTTATCTTTTTTTTTTTAATTGACTGGCCTAAATCGTGTCCATTAGCTTCATCTGTTTGCTTGGCTAATCTTTCCATCAGCTGCAGCCTTCTCAGCCTCACATAAAGAGCAAAAGGCCTCCAGTGAAAAACGTTGCTATCCAGAAGGAGACAAGCGCTTCAGGCCCTGAGAACAGACCCAAAATTGTCCTGTTGGTGGATGCTTGTCAGCAAACAGGTATGGCAATAATGTTTTTAAGTTTCATAATATGTCAAATCTTTTGCTTGTACAATTTAAAATGCTATTTTTAAGAAATAGAAGCTTGATTAGATGACTAGATAACCCTTCTATACTGAACTCTGGGCTGGAGTCAGTTTCTGATTCTTCTTTTTTTTTATTTTTGTCACATTTGCATCAGTCAAACTGTGATATTTCAAAACTGTTATACAAATACAAATACAAAATACTTTACTGACCAAGTATAAAATATATACAAGGAATTTGTCTTCGGTGACGAACAGCGAGATATTATGCTGCTTATCAAGGGAACTGCTTTACTTTTCATTCAGTCTTACTGAGTCTTAGATAGCAACACACATGAAGAAAAGGTGCTATTTTTCACATGTATTATTTAATGTTTAGGAACCACCATGGTATCCTGAGCATTGTATGAAACAGAGATCACTTGATTCTTCCAGAAAATGATGGAGAGGAGACATCGTTAAAAATTAAACAGAATAAAAATCTGATAGGCAGGTGAAACTGATCAGTACTAGATACTGAAGAATGTCTATGATTCCTGAAAATAAGCAAATTTCATTCTTCCCCAATCCAGTGACCTTTCTCTAACTTACAATCCACAGTTTTGTTTTGTTTTATTATAATTTATTTATTAAAGCAATTGAAGGAACAGAATAAATAGCTACATAAAAGAAAAAAGATTGAAAAAAGACATACTGTAGTGGATAAGAATAAAATGTCAGTAAATAAAAAGTTTACAATTATCATAAAATTTAAAATTCATTAATTGATCAATTGATTAAATGTATGCAACTATGTTGTGTTTATTGTGTTATCTTAAAAAACTAGACATCTCTGCAAAACTATAAACTTGGTATTAATATTGATATTTATATATGTATTTATTTAAAAGACTTATATACCACCATTTACCATTGTTCCAGAGATAGATGCACATAACCATGAAGAAAGGAAACCAAAAAAAAATTAAAAGAAAAAAATCGGTAAAAACAATATTGGGAAACTGCATAGTTTTAAATTCCATCGTACCTGACTGATAATTACATGAACATATTTTTAAACATTAAAATTGTTTCTAATTACTTTCTTTACATCAATTATTTCCCCCTTAAAAGCCGTACTCTGAGAGTCTGAGTTTGCCTTGTTGTGTGTCCTAAGATATCTAGAGGAGCCATTCTTAGTTGGATGTAGTCCACCATCTGTTCTGAATGTATACTGTTAATTTAATAAAATAAATTTCTAGTAAATCTATAATAAATGTAATGAAATAAATAAATTTAGCCATTGCTACAAGTTTGGTTTCCCAGTCTGATATTGTAGTCAGCGTCTCTTTTCCAACGTTTCGCCAAATTCGTCCTCGGGGCCATCAACCCATCCTTTCTCAAGAAGGAAGCGACCCGTTCAAGCCTTGCCAGCTCTTGAGGCTCTTCTCTTCTCTACCCCGCAGACTTCCCTTCAGAGATTGCCAGCAGATCCCTGTCAGAGAGCGTGAGCGCCCCGCACTGGAAGCCGAGGGGCAGGCGGCGGCGAGCCTCACACCCTGCCGAGTCCTCGAGCGAGCAGGGGGCCAGCGAAGCCGATATCGACAGCGACAGCGGCTATTGCAGCCCTAAACACAGCAACCAGGCTGCGGCGGCCATATCCAGGAGTGTTGAATCTGCCGGAACAAACGTAGGTAGACGTCCGAAACGCCCAAGAGCAGAAAGAGAGGCATGATGCAAAATAAGTACGTTGAAAATAACCTCTACAACTTTATTTTTTTAATTTTTAGATCAAAGAATCGTCCATACATCCAGGTAAAGTTTCTGTTTCAAAAATAAAGCGATTCTTTCCTGGCTTTGCAAATCTGCTGTTTTGTGGTGTGTGTGTGTGTGTGTGTGTGTGCGCGCACATGATTGATGCATTTTGTCACTGTTCATGCTTTTAACTGATTAAGTTCTTCATCCTTTCCACATTGCAATCATGTATAAACACTGTGGGATTGTTTCTGAACGTGTCCAGCTTTCGCCCTTAAAATATTTTGTGAGTAGTGTCAGGATTGCATTTGAAAAAGGTCCTAACATTTTAGTAATTACTGGTAATCTGCTTCTTCTTTCCCCCATTTCTTTTTCTTTTGACACATTCTCCAAGATTGCACTGATTAGTCCATAAGGATTGCAAATAAGTTGAGATCCTCATTGTACCCTGGTGTTGCAAATGAAAATACAGAAATAAAATACATCGTACATGAAAAACAAAAACAAACGGAGGACGGGAGCTATATATTTTAAGATTGCTCAATGTCTTTAAAGAAGGAAAAGTTGCAGACAGACTGCTCCCTATCAATCCATATTATTTCTGCAATAAGGTGTAGCCATGTAGAGGGGCAAAGAAAGCTAATTATATGAGTACATATGCTGGTTGGATCCAACATCTAGCTTGCTTTCTTATAGGCATGGAGGGTTGTGGTTTTTTTGTACTTTAAAAAAGTACTGTGTGTCTTCTCTACATATTTTTCTCTTGCACATGGTACCTTTCCTTAAACTTCTGTGATGCTTCTTTCAGTGGGCGCCAGTTGGGCAAGCGTCAGTTCCCAAGCAACTCAGAAGAAGCCTTGGGTAGAGAGAACCTCTTTCTCAAGAGGTGGAAGGCAACCTGAACATCAGCATGATTCACAGGTATGGTTTTCACTGATCTACTTAAAGCCTTGTTGCCTTCTCTTCAGGCAGAAAAACACCAACAGCAAATTACAGATGAATAAGCAGCGAGATTTTCTGTAGCTTCAATCTTACAGTCTAAAACAGTGTTTCTCAACCTTGGCAACTTGAAGATGCGTCCACACATCTTCAAGCTGCCAAGGTTGAGAAACACTGGTTTAAAAGCACTATGCTCAGCACATTCTGACTGTTTCCAAGCTTTTTGGAACTTTCAGCTCAGATCACAACAAGCTGTCTAGAGATGAAAAATAGATTGTTGCAGAATCCATGAATCAGTAAGTTTATATAACTTCAGTTAATGCATTTCTTACGTTAGAAAGAAAGTTGCTTCTCCTTTATAGAGGCTATTAGAGAAATGAAATTCTCCACCAATTAGTACTTTCTTTCCTGTATGCATCCGTGCTGCAAAGTCATTACAAAATTATTGGCAATCTATATACATTGTTAAAAGTGTCAATTTTATTGTATAAACCAATTTTAGGCATGTAGAATACAAATAAGCTGATGAAATATTGACAACATGAATCAGTATTTTAATTTTTTGTAATGCCAGTTCATTTACTCTGCTCCACTCTGTGAAGACTGTTCAACTCTCTATTCTCACTACTAGTCATGTTTCTACAACCCCAGAGATGAAGTTAGATTTTCACGTGGCAGGTAGGGTAGCTAGCGCACTTTGACTGTGATTTACATGGGTGCTCTTGTACTGCAACGTAAAAGGGACAGTCCTAATATGTTTGTTTTTATTTACCTGTATAGCCTGGTTTTAGATGTAGAGGTCACAGCACATCTTCAGAAAGGAAACAGAGTTTGCAGAAGAAAATTGAGAAACCAGTAATCACAAGCCAGTCAAACAGAGTAGAGCAGAGCCCTGAACTGCTATATTTTGGGGTAACTCTTGTTTATCATACCTTTCATTCATCATACCTTTCATTCACTAAGACAAGTGGAGATTTTGAGTTGGTTGATAGCCACATCTCACTGTACCCCTGCTTGCTGATTTTAAAACCTATAAACTTATTTTTCAAATTACCAATGGTATTTTTCAGTTTGTTTTCAATGTGGCATGTGGTAACAATATCTTTCCTGCAAATTCCAATATGGTTTCATGTTTACCCCATTTTGTACTATTCATATGCATTTGCCAGTTTCCACCAATCTCTAGCTGGATAATGCTTGGCTGCAAAATAGGGGTAGTGTCCTGTGAATTTCAGTTAATGGATTTTCCAAAACCTTTGTTCAGGATGAAGAAGAATTCCCCGAACTAAATTGTGATAGCGGACATTCTAAAGCTGGTAACATGCAGCTGAAGCACGCACCCAAAATGGTAAGTGACGCTATTACATTTTGGGGGCAAAATTGTGATTGGGTTATTCTTTTTCTTTTTGGTATATTCTGACTCATTTTTAATGAGCAATAAAAGTGAGCAGAATTGTTTCATGGGAACACAAAAAAGCATACCCTGGCATTGTGAAGAGTGTAACATTTGATTTCTTAGGATCTGAACTTTCAATTTAAAGCAAATTACTAGTTCTGGTTCATACCTGGCTGGGAGACTACAGGCAATATCAAGATTGAAAGTCCTATAAGCAACTTCCCCAAAATCCCACGGATATGCTGATGTAGTAACGAGGCATTGAGTTCAGTTAGAGCAGTGTTGTCCAAACTTGGCCACTTTAAGATGAGCGGACTTCAACTCCCAGAATTCCCCAGCCAGCATGACT